AAAAAAATAGAGAGAGTGTTGTTCCAGAGAAAGTGTATGGTATAATCCTGAAAAATACGAGAATTACACCATAAACTTTCTCTACTGCCGAGAATTGCACCATAAACTTTGAATTACTTTCCTTTCTCACTAGGCTTTTCTCCATTGCCGTCTATGAGGGTGAGAAAGAGAAATTTCTCCATTGAGGATATTTTCTTGGTGTTTTTCTCAGACAGTGAACTTGAAAACTTTCTTATTTTGAGAGTTGTTTGTGATGGAAATGGATTGGCATATCTTGATTTAAATAGGGGAGGAGGAGGTTCACGGGTTCCATTAAGTGGGTAGTTGGAACGGTGAGAGTAAAGGAGTTTCAACTTCCAAGAAGTTGAAAAGTAAAAGGAATCTTTTACCAGTTACGAATGGATTGAAACTGTTCCAATTAGAAAATCAGTTTCATTTGGTTTGAGAAACGTAACTGTTTTAGTTTGGCTAAGCCCAAAAGAGTGGCCCAAAAAGAAAAGAAAGCTATGTACTACAGGGAAATTATTCCTATTGGGTTCTCAAGGCCTAAAATAAAACTATCATTTTTCATTCCCTATAGTTCTAATTTCTACTTAGGACGAGGTAGTACCAAAACAAATATGAATTTTTATTTATTTTTAAAAGAAAAGTGGTACTATTTTTCCAAAGTCCTGTAAATTATAAAAATCCTAAGGACCAGTACTTTTAGAGCTAGTTGGAAAAGAATTAAGGATTAAAGCTTAGTTTAAGAAGGCAGATTTTGTAAAGTACCTGAATCGGAGATTTCCAATTTTAGTACCAAAACTGAGATATCCGACTTCCATTGCTTAGAGCTCATCAATAATTCATAGCCAAAAACAATTGTTAGCCAAAACTAGGTAAGTTCCCCCTGAATTACATTCCCCCTGAATGTATGCGCTTCAGAAAAAATTAATTAAGACAAAATCATACTTGAGATAAACATAATCAAGCATAATAAGCGCAATTAAAAATTGTTGAAGCAGTGTTGCAATGTTTAAACCAATCAAGCAATGTTTAAACAGGAAGGTGTTTTCATCAAAACAAATTGGCGTTTTCACATACTTTCCCCCTGGTTTGATGAAAAGAACCTTCAGTTCCTTTTGCGTTTTGAAGATCCGGCAACCTCACTGATGCCCTGCATGTTCCCACACAGTTCTTTGATGCGCTTTAGGTTTTCACGCCTTTCTTCTGATTGAGTAGCATCTGAGAAGTGGTCAGTAACTGCACCTATAAATTTTGTTCCATCCAGTCCTGAGCTGGATAGGTGCTGTGCTGAGTTTTCCAGATTTCTTTGCTGTGCTTCAAGGATTAAATTTGTCATTTTCAGACTAGAAGGGATATAAGATGCTTCTCCTTCGTTGACTGCAATTGGGAGCTGTGGTATTGGAGATGAATTGTGTTGTTGGAGAATCACTTCCATCTTGCGGTTCCCAATATGTGCACCAATAAGTCTGAACAGCTTGTATGCTTCCTTTTGATTGTCAATGATCACCTTCAAGTAGTCTTTGGTTACTACCTGATTTGCTGAAGCTATTGCTAGGGCTGATCTGATGTCCATTTGGAGAAGGGACATCTGTTTTTGTAGACCAACTATGACATTTGCTATTTGCTCCTTGACTTTGTTGAATTCATTGAATTGCAGTTGACTGTCAGAGGTGTATATTTCCATCGTATTGCTCACAGTTTTACTCAATAGAGAGATGATCTCTAGAGTCTTTTCTACTGATTTACTTATCTCCTTGAGATCAGC